GTACTTTTGATATAATCCTTCATTTCAATAATTCTATGAATGACTGTGTCTTTCGGGGGGGGGGAGGGGCAGCAGGTCGAGCTGTTTAGCAGCTTTTTCTCTACACATAATACGTGTTAGCTCTTTTGCCAACCGTAAATAAGGTTCTTCAAAAATAGTGTAGCTTACTTGCTTTAGCAGTCCGCAAGCTTGCATTTTTCTGCGTTTCCGTTTTTATTTCCGTATTTATTTAAAGTTTCTATTTCATGCGCATGGGAGCGAAACAGAGACGCTCGGTGTATTTTTCTCAAATTAGAACAGTTCTTAAATATTTTTCTGTTATCACTCTTTCGTGTGCTCACAAGATTACCTGCGTTCGTAGCACGTATTTTTATGCATTCCTGTGTTTACAACGTTGCAATTGTTCCAAAATCATGCACATTCTCCTTTTTCCCTATTTGCTGGAGATACAGTAGCTTTACTTCAATACAATTGGTCACTTGCATCCATAGCACGCATTCCTATAGAGTGGTATAGAATTAGAGAGTATCTCGTGTCCACTGAAGTATTAGCGCGCACTGTATCGTAGTACATAGGCTGCGTATTAGACACGTATTAAAATACAAAATATGAAAACCCGTCCCGATTTTTCAGCGCACACGACAGTTTCAGGGTCATTTGGCGTACCACTTGGCGCTACTCCACGTACCACTGGCCTAACGGATCTGCCTGACTTGACTTCAAACTTGTTTCTTCTGTCACTCCAGAGTGTTGTTGGAAACTGAATCCTAATCTTCTCACTTTTCAGGCAAGACACCCAAAACTCAGGAATGGGTACAGGGTGGTTACCAATTATGAATCCCTTTTAAGAGCTGTAAGCACATTTATAAACATGCCCAGATAGAAAAAATTGAAATTAAATAGCTAGTGATTATGATTTTGGCTGAAGTAAAAACAAGAAGTGTTCCTCCAGGACCAGGGTTGGGAACCACTAAAGGCTGCCTTGCTTGCATGTGGAGGTTAATGGACAGCAGTGTGCAATATGTGGAATCTTGAGTTGTTCATTTTGCTGGCTGATTGCCTAAGGCTCCATTGAATTCCACTCACTGGTCTGTTTTGTTGTTTTTGGTATTTTAACCCTCTTTAGCACTTACAATGATAATAATATTTCTGTAGCCTTTGCAAAAATATATAGCTATAAACAGTTTAATACATAAAGGCAGAAAAAAAAACAAGTAACACATTTCTCGATATGTGATAAAACATCTGCAAGACTTGCCATTCTATCCATCGCAAATTCTCAAAAAAATATAACAATGGGAACAAAAAAACAAAAAACAAATCTGAATTGACAGCAAAAAGGTAGGAATGTATCTGGTAAGGAAACAATGAAATTACAGTGCTCTTCCCTTCTGTATCTTCCATCAAGCTTTTCCACAGCTCACAGAAACACTGTGTTTAGGTTCAACAATTGTATTATGTTTTATATTACATTGGGCAAACAACTGCTTTCACATTTTTTCTTTTTTCTGACATGATAAATGTTTCCTGCTCTTGTTAACATATTTTAAGAGCTTAAAAAGTATTATGAAACATAATGGATAAATAATAGTCACATAAAAGGCTAATTGAAGTACCTAGAACCAGAAGTGATCATTTTAATAACACTCATGATCCAACACTTCTAACCATGACCAATAATTTTTGAAGTGGACAATTACACTCCATAAGCTAAACACACCAACGGGTTTAATAAATGCTTGAAAAAAGATTTTCTGAACACACATCTCGCAAAACACAAAGTTCACTGTTAGGGAAACCTCTTGCAAACGTATTTTCAAGAGGACTAATAAAACAATTGCTCAGTTCATTTGCCATATTAAGTGAAAAATTATAATGCAGAACACTTTACATAACTATCTCCATTATGTGTTACAAAGGTGAATTCTGCAGTGCCAGGTATAGGGATTTGAAAGCTACAATATTTGTCAAACACTTTTTCCTAAATGGGGAACAATTATGCATTTTTAATGTAACTTTCTGTTTACTAGGAGGAGGTCCATCCCAGATAACACCAAATAGTTTGATGTGTTGTATGCAAAATTCTCTACAGATAATTAAAACTGCAAATTTATTGCTACATACTCTAAACACAAAACTGTCACCAAATCTTTTATCTTCCTAGATTCCCCTAACATAGCAACATTCATTTTGTGAAGGTTAGTCTTATAGCACTTTTGTACCAAATCACTAAACAGTGGCTAATCAAGGAACGAATGATCAATATTATGTTCTCATGAAATGAGAAAAATCAGTGCATTTCAAAATTAAACCAGCAGCTTATTAATATCAAAGATGAGTGCTATGAAGACATTCCAGAGGTGTTAAAGGGCCACAAATTTAAAAAGTAATCATAAGAACATTTACAAATAAGAGAAAGCTATCTGTCCAATCTACCATATTTGTTTGCTAGTAACTTCTTTTCACCCAGCAGCTTCTTGAATAAGATAGACTATCAGTTTCAACAACATAACCAAGTAGGTTCCCTCAAAACCTTGTGTAAAAAGTGCCTATGGCTCTGAGTTTTAAATGCACTTTCAAATAGTTTCATGTCCCGTGCCAGGCTCTCCGTTTAAAACAAAAAATAATTATTTCTCATTGTTTCTTTGAATATGGAAATATACCCGTTTGCTCTTCACTGAAGGTATTCCAGAGCAATAACTTTTTCACAGCGTGGCAAAAACAACTGCACATAAAATTTTTAATGAGGGCCTACGAGTACATTGTACAACTCTAAAATAACATCTCTTCGTTAAATTCTATACTTTAATATTTCATGACAGAAATTTCAGCTTCTGTTTTGCTTCCTTACATCATCTAGATGATGTAAACAATACAGTCACATAAACATTTCTTTTTTTCCCCAAAGGTTGCTTTGTCTTAGAATGGATCTTTTTATTCAGTTTGTTTTTTCTAGCCCCACATAACAATCTGCACTTGTCTACAATCTGAGTGGTGTTTGCCCAGTCCTGAACACCTAAATTTGTTTGAATTTCCTTTGCAGCTTCTAAATCGTTTGCAAACATGATAAGTTGACAAGTGACTAGGTTACTAACTATACTGGAATCTATGTGCCACTAATTATAAACCTCCAATGAAGCTATGTTTTATATACAACAACCAGTTCTATAACCTATTTTCATACAGATGGTCTTGTATAATAAAGACCTGCTGGTCTGTAACAGCTAGTGGGTATTACATGTCTTGATTGGCAGTTGTACAAGTTTTGCTAAATGGCATATGAACAGAATTTCCTATGTGTTCACGTCTATACTGCCACTGCCTGAAGGATCTTGTTTGGTAAAGCATGGCCTTTTCATTTCTCTTTCAGTGAGCTTGATGATTTTTTAATCATTGCAATGAGTGAAAGACTTTATTGCACTCAATGGAATAGTTTAAGTCACTTTAAAAAGTGTGACTTTAGAGGATAGACTGACTTTAATACATAATTACCATCTCTCATCTTTCATAGATGAATTCAAAAAACATTGGTAAACATGACAACTCGTATCCTTGCTGTCCAAAAAAGATAGTGCTTTATTGAACATCATGAATATCCACAAATCCAATAGTCACACACTAAAGTTTCAAATTTGACTAATATAATACTCCAGTCTCCACTTTCAGGCTTATTGCTCTTTTCCTCGATAAACTCTAGAAACTCCAGTGGTCCCTTTTGCTGCTAATGTTAAGCATCTTGATTTTACAACTAGCTCTCGCTGACAACAGAGGACAACACTAGTCTCTTCTCCATCTTCAGCTTTCCCAAGACATTTGTAAAGCCTCTGTAAAATGTCTCTAATTTGTATGGCATCCACTCAAACATTTAATGCCTTTTCCATTTTTACCATGGCTTAATTATGAACAAAGTAACACTTTATAACATTCTTCAGGCCACTCTAAGCAACACTTTCTTTTATTTTTTACTGGGCAAATGATGGATTAATTCACGCCAAGGTCCCTATTAACAGCAGATGCACTTGACTCACTTGCAACTTTATTTAGAATTTTAGTTTTCTGCACTAAAGTCATCACTTTTTTTGCAACTTCACCAATTTTAGCATCACCATTTAAGTGTAATTCTGAACTGTATTTATATTCTACTGGTTCGTTTGGTTTGCAGATAGTAGAATTTTCAACATCTCCTTCTCCACAGATCCTTCTGGCCTTTTTTACAGTCAACAACAAAATTGTCAAATTGAAATGAAATACAATACAGAAGTATGTGAAAACTGGTTACATTTTTAAAGAAATACGTTTCACAAGCAATGGAACAAGTAAATTGAAATCACATTTGAAGTAGGTAATAAACTCTTTTTACTGGCATCAAGGCTGATGCCATACAGTACTTACAATTTAAGTTAGTTATATTAAAATCTATTTATAGGAAAACAACTTATTAATAACTAATTTAACTGCTGATAAAAATAGGATGTTGGCTTTCTAAGACACGGCTTATAAAGAAGGATTTAACAAGTAAGAAAATGCGAAAGTAAATAAAATTCAATACAATAAAATTATAACAAGAATTATTCGCATATATGAAGTGCTTTTTACCTTGACAACATGTTTTGTTATAATGTTAAATTGTGCAAATGTGGGAAGATGAAGTAAGATTACAAGAAAACCTAAAGAATTAGAAAAACAATGAAAGAAAGAAAAAACCCTTACCATTAGACTTTGTTATTAACTCCCCACAATCAATCACTCGAACATCTGCATAAGGCCTGCTAGCAGCATCAGTTTTCAGGTTTTCGATTTGCCTTATCACCTCAAAGCCGGAGATAACCAATCCAAAGACGACATGCACTCTGCAGAGACAAAAGGAGGTTTGACATGAGCACAGGGATTTGAGATAAAGGTGGCACTTTTCATCTTGCTGCAAAAAAGCACATTAGAAATACCTATATACTGCATCATTATCTGTTTAAAATGATAAGTTCTATAAACTTCATTTACTTATATAAATAGAATTCTATCAGTGTTACAACAATATATTCTGAATAATTGTAGGACTTAAACCAGTGGTTTGAAAACAGGAAGCTAAAGGGAACATTATAATTGAGGACGAAAGTAAGGAAATATTCAGATATACCATTTTCTTGTACAATACGAATGTTCCACAGAACAATGTAAAAGCATCTATACCTTTTAGCTACTTGTTGTGACCAATTTTGTGCAATTACATCCATATTTCCATTAGAGAAGCTTTGCCATTGCACTCTTTCTCCTGGCCATTATTTTAATTACTCCATAAAGGCTAGGCAGAAACCAGGAGACGGGTATACTGCTACTATTTGTGCTAAAGGCAAAATGCAATGGAAAACAGCAAGCTCTCTGTTAATAACAATGTGTCATGACATGCATGTTTACTGCAGTGCCATTTGTAATCCCTTAAAAGTTAAAAGTTGTAATACTTTAAACTTTAAAACCTCCAAGAATGAGCCACAGCCCAGCCTGTCCTGACAGATGCAGATCCTCCCATCACTCTCAGTCTTGCCATGTTAAAGCCCTGTGGTGGTTAGTGTATGCAAGCTCCAACAATGTATTGGTACGTAGACAGAACGCATTTCTTCTATAACTATAATTATAAAATAACTTTCTGCAAAAATTAGTATATGAATATAATTCTATGATAAAACATCAGGAATGACATTCATATTACCCCAATGAAGCCCTCATATGCCTCTCATGTATAAGAAAATGTACTCCTTGAATCCATGTAATTTAGCAAAGATTCCCCCAGCATTTCTTCTCTGAAACACATCCTCAGCACGACATTGCTGCACTATAATGTGTGTTCTATCAGTATTGCACTAATCTAAAATAATCTGATTATGCACCAATGATACTTTTGTAGAATCTAATTATTTGTTGGTTTGCTTCCACGTTTCATAAGTGACGAATTTCTCATTTGTTCATGCCTGTATACTATAATTATCTGGGTACATTCTGCCAGTTTTTTACTTCCCTCAAAATTGTAGTACCTGAGTGCTACCCCTAGGAAAATACATTAATATTAAATATTAAAAATCTGCTTTGCAGTGCTACTTTGAAGAAAATGTTTTTCAGTGAGATGCTTAAATTGTAAAATCTGCATTCTAGGGAAAAACATCAGACATTAAATAGAAGGGCTCACTTTTGAACTTATTGTTAAAAAATAGGTATAATATGCCCTTATGGTATTTTTCATCTTAATACGGAACAACAATGAATAAAACGTACCCATCCAGATGTGGTGCCATTTTTGTAGTTCTGTTCCAGTACAACCACAACCATTCAGGCAGGTTATTTCAAGGTTGGGAGGGAAAAGTACAGTAGGTGGTTGAAGTCATGGGGGAGGAAAAAAAAAGCCAGATAAATATAATAAACAAAGATTTTTTTAAAAAATCACTACAGCTATGAAAATCACTGATATTTACTTTTAATGCAAGAGTGACAAGTAACCTAACAAGCAACTTTACTTATGAAAAGAAGGCAACATTTTATTCATAGCAGCGACACAATAACTTAACGATTTTCTAATTTAGCAACTGTGTTCAAATGCTTTCCCAAGTACATATTAGTTCTGTGTAATACAACTTTAAATCAAATGTTTTAGATTCTTGCTAATATGGACAACAGTAAAAGGTGAAGTATGAAGCCTTATAAGCTTTGTTATATAAATACTTCGAGACCTGATAAAAACTTACACAAAGTAAAACAGTTAACTACAAAAGCCACAGAATTTATATAGATCACATAGAAAAGTAACGTCTAAGCACATCTTTAATAACATACACAGGATACCTTTCATCATGATACTATAAACGGGTATTGAAGCCTGCTAAGACTAAAAACTAAAATGTCCTCAATACACCACAAAGGACAGCCAAATTTCCTTTTATGCACGTGCTTTATCAAAGAGATGTTCTTTAAAGGCAAAGCTCCTTTATGTTTTTGTCTAACAAATTTTGTAATTCTTCTTTATTACACTAAATTAAATAAATACATTTTAATGTATTTTTCAGTCCTGTTAAAGAAGACAGAAGTTAATGAAGTAATATATATAATCAAGTAATAATCAAGTAATATATACGGTAATTTTTAAAATGTGAGACAACTTGCTATTAGCCCAAAAAAGGTTGTTGGAAGTCTTTTAGGTTGAAAATATTCTCCAGACTAAACAAATAATTCTTCTTGACATACATTTAAAGGGTTCTAACTGGATTTATGGATGTTTTTCAGTAGCAATGAAATCCAGGGATGTACATATCTAAGATAGCTATATGAAAAGGCAACAGTTTAGGCTTACAAATTAGGAAAAACAATCTGAACATCAACCAGGTTTCCACAGTACACATAAAATACTTGCGATATATAACTGAATGTTTTAAAACTAAGGAGGATGACTGGAATACAAACTGTTAATAGTCAATACACAGTGAGGAGAGAGAAGCACAGCCTTAGAACGACACTTTACCTTTGAAGAGCAGGATGCTAGAGTGTTTCTGCAAATTTTACACAAAAATGGCAAGAGAAAAATTGTAATACATTTGTAAACAAAAAAGGAGTCCAAGATTTTTTTTCTTTTAGAATGTATATATTAATAAGAAAATAGCAACAAGACATTCAGAATTTTCTGCAATACACATTAAGAGGTTCTATGCAGTGCAAAAAAACAAACTTCCTTCATGTCATTCAAGTACAATTGGGACATTGCTGAGAATTTGCTTAGGACTCTAAAATTTTCATTTAGCCTTAATTCCATCACAAGAGGAGAAAACAATAAAACACATAAAACTAACCAATTCCTGAAAAGATGCACAAGCCTAGATTATATAACAGTTCCAAAACTTAGCTGTCTTGCCATTCTGGTTTCTTTTGTTTGCTTTGTGTAAACTGCACTTTAGACCTGTGATAAAACAGGTCATGTTTTAGTACAGAAACTTGGGCCAGAGGCAAGGACTGCCAGCACCTAAATGACAACTATGACTGCCGCCATTTTATCACAAGTCAAGGAAAAGAGTGAAAATGCAACACAATTTCCTGTACTGCAGGGTATGACAGCTGGTACCTATTCCATTAGTGATACAATATCCTCTGCCATTTCATTACTATAAACTTTAAATCCAACAATACATAATTTCAGACTTTAACTGGCTTCTAACTAAACACCCATTCACCTCACAGAATAATGCAGATCTGGTCCTCAATAGCCCTTATGAGTGAAATTAAGTTTCAGGGAAATGTATTTTACAAATAAATACAACAATATTTGATATTTTAGCATCACAAATTTAAATATTGTACATTTTTTGTAATCGTAAAAATACAAAGCTTTTTATAGTAAGTGTAACATTCAAAATATGCATGTAAATGTTAAATGATTATCTTGTAGAACACCAAGAATATGCAGATATTCTGCAGATATTTAAAGTAGTTAATCAACAGCATGCATTTTGCAGATTTTCAAGCTGTCACTTAAATCTGGCCATTTTTATTTTCAAATTTAAAAAAAATTTAAATCGGTATGAATTAAAACATGCAAAGTTTAGTATTTCTTATGTCTATACAAATTGTTTTTGACAGCCTCTTGTGGATTTAGTAATCAAGCCAGCTACAGTAATATTACAAAAAACTGTAAAATATGAATGCATGTATGAAGACACGTATGAAGTTCCACTAGAAATTGCAGTACGAACAACAATCATATTAAAATTGTTTAGTCATACAAAACATTGACTCCTGAGATGCTAAATGCCATCTACAAGTATTAAACAGAAAATTTTAGAGTCCCGTTTTATTTAATCTACTTTCAGTGTAAACAAATTAAAAATACAAGTCTAAGTTCACACAATATCCAGAAGATTCAAAAGTCACCACAGTTTTCAGATGTCCCAGAAGTTTAAAATCAAAAGGAAAAGAAAATATTTACAGAGAAGCCCCATTCAGTCTTAACTAGAAAAAGATGGTTGATATTATGCAAAGGAAAGCTCAGGTACTTTACCTTTAATGCAGTTTTCAGCATTGAATATTATGATAAATTAATCTGAGACTACATTTTAGATGCTAAAACAAGCACCCATATACACTTTTTTAGTAGTTTGTAAGTTTGTAATTCCGATATAATAAGCAGAGGAAATACCATGGCAGTTACTTTCATCAGTTACTATCATTTAAAATTTACCATTGAGTACTATTACTATTGAAATTGTAAACGAATCATTTGTTACTCAGTAATTCAAATGTAAGTGGTATTTTGAAATGAAAGTTAAATATAAAATTAACTGCATTTTAGAAAAGATTTGCATGCCAAAATAAAGTTAAAACAGATGAATTTGAACAGATTGTATAAATCATTCCATTACATAAAAACATTAGTGAATGATCTATATCCTCCACAACAACCTGTAACAATGCAACTTGCAAAAATATGAGATGGAAAAATATTCAGCAAGGCACAAGGAATAGTTCGCTGGTGTTCTTTAAGTCTGCAATGGACAAACTTCACAGAGTGAGATGACCACATGATTATGTTAATTATATGGACCATCTTTCACATGAATGGTGCTTCCCATCTTTCACTACAAAATATCATAATGAATGTTACTCACATGAAGAACTGCGAACCATTTGTATCTTTGCCTCGGTTGGCCATTGACAAAAGGAATGCTCTGTCATGTTTGAGACTAAAGTTTTCATCTGTGCGAAAAAAAGAAATATCCAGTGAGCCCCTCCCTACTGTCCAAAAGAATTTAAAACCCATAAGAAGCATTACTAACAAGAAGCAGCCATTCAACCCATCCATTTCATTTACTTGTTAATGTGCAAAGAGTGGTTCAGAGAAAGGCTTGAAAGTTTATGCTGGCTCCCAAAAACTAGTTTTTATCAACAAACCCTGATCAAATCAATATACTACTGGCATTAAAATTGAGGCTGCACTGTACTTTTCCTCAGAAATGTGCCACTTTTAATAGTATTACAGGCTTTACATACTTCTCAGATAATTAATGTTTAAATTTCAAAGTCTCAAACATAAAAACTAAGAACTGCTAAGTAAATATCCGAATTGTAAGGAAATGCAGGCTACATTTGTGGGTACATGCATGCAGTATTTCCAAGCAATAACAAAGCAACACAGATCATAACTTTCATTTGTTACAGATATGTTCTTTACATACGTAAAAAAAAATATTTCACCTCAAAAATAAAGCTTTTAACTACACCAAGTTCATTATCAATGGAAAAAAAACAATTAATACCTTTCAGTGACCAGCATAATGAATCAAAATCTCATTATTGCAATAATAACATCAAGATACACAGGTCAATTACTATGTATCTATATATACACCGTATGTTTTGGCCGAAGAAACAGAAACGCTACAGTGTACAATATCCATTGCTTCATAGATCAGTACAACTAATGATTCCAACTGGAGAGGAACTAAGTCTTCAATCAGATCACATTTCCATCCATATATTGATCATGGAAGACTTTTTACCCATTGTCACGATGAGAAGGGTGTAAGGGAACAATGTTTGAATTGTGTTACTGAGCTGTATATATCTCTTACCTTTTCATTTTGCAAAAGACCACATTCTCTATAAATAAAAGAATATGTTGAAAATTTTAGGCAGGAAGATAGGATTTTTCATTAAAAATTGCCTAACCTCCATGCTGAAAGTCAGAAAAATTTCAAAATTACCTAAAGTTCATAAAATCAAAAAGTAGAATACCCACAAAGAAGGAAAGTAAACTAAAACAAAAACACTATCTGAAAACCATGCATTCAGTTATTCTTCATGCAACTTAGCCTCATGCAAATAAGGAAAAGCTGATAGTAGATTACATTGAATATATGTAAAGGGACTGTGCTGTATCACACTTTCAGTACTCTGTTGATATGTCCGCATTGTTGTACATGTATACTTACCTTCAAAGTAGCCACCAAATATAGATTCACCTCCTCTTCCATTACCTACAACATTGAAAAATAATTCTACTCAGTGAACACTTTTTCCTGGCTACTCAGAAGTAATGCCATTTAACAGGAATTTCAAAGTTTTTTTATGCTAAAGGACACCTTTACGAGAAACCTCTCTGAATAAGACAAAACAATTATACATAAAATCAAATAATCCTGGAACTTATCGTTAACAACCCTACTCCTGATTTTGAAACATTAAGAGCACTGCAGATCTACTTCATCTACTTCTAGTATCACAGTAAATTCTGATCCAACAAGACTGTTGATTTTACACAATACCAGACCTGTGGTACAAGGATCTGTTTATAGCTAGTTCTAAGTTAGAAACCTATGGTCAAAGTGTGCTACAGTTTATCCTGTGGAGAATGATGAAAAATGGTCATGTCTGATATACACAGACTTTGAGTTTTTATCTATGCTGCAGAGTAACTTGGCACCTTCAATTCAGGTACCCCTACATAAAGGTATCCTATATCATTGTACAAATGCTATCGGTAGGGCATAGACTAGCACATTCACTGCGCAAGAACTAAGGGGATGTTTGTCTACTCTCTAAAACACCTCCTACAATGGCAATATTACACTAAGGGGAATAGAAGGTAATTAATCCTGATGTGCACATTTATCCAGTTCAACTTTCAACTTGAAAGTTGAAATGCCATCATACAGGCATTCATATGCCTGCTTGCACTGCCACAAACAAACAGGCATGACATTTGCCATTTGAGAATAAGCATTACTGTGTTGAAAGACAAAATAAATACTTTTATGTAAGTTTTTGTAGAATGGGAGGAGCACAGGACTGAAATAGTAAAACAGTGTGCAGTACACATCAATTTTCCTACGGTATTAATAAAGTCTTATCTATCTATCTAAGAAGACCAATCACAAAAACAGACTTACTCCTACAGTTGTCAATAAAATGCCATAAAAATACTGCTACCAAAATGATCACATTCTTTCAAATGCACGCTTCATTACCAAATATCACACAACTTTTTTCATCATCTTACCTTCACACATGCAAACACAAAAGTCACACATTTCCTCCTACACAAACATTATCATACTTTTTGCAAGTAATGAGAAAACAGCACTTTAATATTCAAATCAGTTAACAAGGGATAATTACTTGCTACCATTCAAAATACAGGTAATGCCTCTGCCAGTGGTTAGCACTGCTACCTCGCAGAGCTGGGGACCTGGGTTTAATTCTTGGTGTTTTATCTGTGTGGAGTTTGTATGTTCGCCCCCTGGATTTCCTCCAGGTGCTCTGGCTTCCTCCCACAGTCCAAAGACATACTGGTAAGAATTTGTAAAAATTGTCCCTGGTGTGCTCGGCGATGGACTGGTGTCCCCTCCATTGTGAATCTTGCCTTGTGCCTATTCTTTCCAGAACAGGCACTGGCTCACCAGCGACACTGTACTGGATAAAGCAGTCAGAAAATGAATGGATGGCTTCTGTCATGTTGCAGTACTTTTTAAGGTTTCATGAAAATGTCTATTTTATTTACACATAATTTGTCCTGTCTATGATGTTATGAATTGAAACAAAGAGCATTATAACCTGAAAATGTCTTACCTTCAGTAAAATCCCCACCCTGGATCATGAAACTCTTTACAACTCGATGGAAGGTAGAGCCTTTATAACACAGTTTTTTTCCTGTGACTTTTCCAGTTCCTTTTTCGCCTGTAAAAAGGAAAAAAAAAGTGACTCACTATCTTCAGATAGAAAGAAACCAGCTCTCTTCAAGTAGCATTTGTCATCCAAGTTAAACAACAAGGTGTTTTTTTTGTATTCATTACCTATTACATATAAACTTCCATTTCAGATTGATATTGTATATTTAAAAAATGACAGCAAAGAGCTAAAAGCAACAAAACCTTTTTACTACTACTGGTGCAGAAATTTATGTTCTCTTCCCATTATATGTAATAGCAAACAGGAGAGACATAAATTCTAATTATACAGCAAATTGACTCAGCTAGCAGAATTTACACACAGCATAAGCATAGCTACTCTCTACAGATTCGCTCTTAGGAAAGCTTGTAAGTAATTAAAGAAGCTCACATTAAAAAAAAATATTAGTTCTTTTAGTGGTCAAGAAAACATTAGTATTAATCTCTAGAACACCTGCTTAATGAGATCACATCAGAAAAAAAACATCTACTCACATTGTGCATTAGATTTCAAACCTTAAAAATGTATTAACCAAACATCCAATCTGTTTTATCAAAATCAAAAATTATTGCTATTATTTCTAGTACAATTTTGTTTGCATTTGGCAAGTGTTTAAAATTCAAGTCTATTACATTGCTGAAACAGAATACAATTTATTATCAAGTAAGTTTAGTAGGTTGACCACTTTAGAACTTTAAAACAATAATGATAAGAAAATGATTCACAATAATTCCATCTCTTTAAAGGGGAAAATATCAAAACTACAAAAAAGTGAGCTCCATATTAATTGAACCGCATGGACTGACAAAACCCTTTAATTTACCCGATTTTGTTGGTCTAACAGACTCAAAAGACATAAGCATTGTGAAATGGTTCATTTGAGTTTTGAAGAGAAACTATTCTGGAGGGTGGAATGCTAAAAGGATTTTGGCAGACAGATGCCAGTGGAGTTACAGAGCTTAGGCTGAGAATAGCTGACTTTGTATTTTACTGAAAAAAAAAGCAACCTGTGGGTTTTTAGTTTCATACAGCATTGATAGGAAACCCCAGACGGGCATGCAATGAGAGGCGGAAATGATAGGAACCATTTGGAAGCTTAGAAGAGCAGAACAAGACTTGCTAAAAGACTACTTCTGCCCTTGTCAGAACCATTTTAATTTAGAGGATGCTGAGAAAACTGATAGGTCACATCGATCCCAACCTTTAGCTGGAAATGTGCAGTGACCTAGAACTACCAGTGCTGATCTCCTAGCTAAGGTATTGATGCCGTGTGAAACATTAGCTTCTATCGCAGGATAACACCTTAAGACATTTTCTGGTGTCGCCATATCACGTAGAAAAGCTCTGACAATTGTCAGAACGTTTAGGTATTTTATGCCACACTGTGACAACTGAGATTTTCCAATCCATCTGTCAGATTGACAGGGTTTTTACAGTTTCTGTCTTCCAAATCAAGTTGTCTTAGTTTTGTGACATGTAAATCAGTCATTATAAGCTTAACCCTATAATAATGGCAAAGTTTATATTTAAGGTTGCTTACCTGTGCATAGACAAAGAAAATTTTTACTTGTTTTGGGACAGATATCTGAAAACAGCTGAAAGACAATGCGTCCAACTGAAACAAAAAAAGAGGCAAAATTATTAGATGGCAAGAGAAAAGTATTAGTAAAAAATGTGTCAACACTAAGCAGGTATAACAGAAACAAACAATACATATTGTATAAAATGTTAAGTCAGATATTAATATTCGGTTTAAACTTCAGAATGCTATTAATTGTTACAAAGCAAGTACCACATAACCTTACACTGCAGTTATAACAAGCACAAATAAAGCCTTGAATTCTTTAATGATATTGAAGTAAAGGATAGATATATATTAAGAATTCTTCTAGCAGCAAGTAAAAAAGTAATTACACGAAAATGGCTGAAAAAAGAACCTCCAATAATGTTGTGAATGAGAAAAATATAATGGGGAAAAAAAACTCTCTCAGATTGCAGACAGAGAGGTTTAGCAAATACTGGGAAACGTGGATAAAATGTATCTCCCTACAGGGACTTATGTAGTGATATCTATGTGTAGACTTTTTTGTTGTTTGTTGCATTTCTTATCAAACAAATGTATTTTTTGTCTGACCCTCCATACCTTCCATACCATTCCAGGCCACAACAGACATTGACTATTTCTCCATTCATTTCCAGTCATTTTTGAAAATAAATGCATAACAGCCCTTATCCAATGCTGCCTACTCATAACCAATAATTTAAATCTAACAAAGATGTTCACAATATTTGACATTTTGGACAGTGGAATAATGAAACTCAACTTCAGTCATGGGGAAGCCTGTTTATATAATGTATCAAAACACTGTAGTCTCTCATTATGAAATAAAGCAGCCTCAAACACCATGACCTTTGTTGTGTACACTTTTTAACAGTTGACATGACATTTTCTTTAAATCAGACCTACCAATTTGGAGAAAGAGGTGTTTCCCGGCTACACATATTTTGGTGGAATTTGTATTTTGTCCATATATGATACTTTTTGAATTTGGAACAAATGGTTTTTGATTAGAGATATCTTATCAATATTGGATTCATCCAATTTGTATTTTAATATGAAAAGGTGTGGTATTTTCTGGGAAATCTGATAACATTACATGTCACTTTGATATGAAAAATAGTTCTGGGAACGGTTTCATGTAAATTAATAGAATTCACAATGCAAAAGGAGAAGAAAAGTGGATCATTTTGAATCGCCAAAACCTTAGACTGTAATTGACAAGTATCTGCAGTCCTATGTAATACAGACTGTTGGCTTGACAGCCCCAACAGTCTTTTTTCACTTCAATTATAATTCTGAAACCATCAACTAATCAGCCCCTTCTACACTTAAGCTTGG